ATTCTCGGTTTCTCTTGCTTCTTGGCCTCAACTATGATAGCGGCTGCCATGGAAGCCAATGCCAACGTCAATGCCCTTCAACGGCCGGACCGAATTGCTTACCCAGCTCTGTTTGGCTTCAACAATTAACACAAATTTCTCATGGGTTATTATTTCGTAGAGATTTTTCACAACTCTATTTGAGAAGAAGAAGAAAGTATGGAAGAGAGACGCTGGGGAGAGATGGGGAATCAAAGATGAAGAATTGAGAGGGTTGCGCGAAGGTAATTATGTAATTTTATATACTATTTTTGGATTAAAGGACGGCATTTCTTGATGATGACTGCGCATCCTCATCCACAGTTGAGTGGTTGCTAATTGCCATGCATCTTCGTCCCTGGAAATATCCTCTTGACTGTCTCTCATCGACTTGCCTCCTACTTTAAGTTCTTCCTTTCTCCATAATTGGCTGCATCAACTTCTCTCATCAGAATCAGAAAGAATCAGTCTTGCAATTGATACTTCTAATTGAATCAGCTTTGTCATCTCCGAAAAACCTCCTTTCTGCTAGCTGCAGGTACACTCTCTCGCTATTTAGATCTTCAATCTTGATTTTGTTATATATATTATATATGTTCTCTTTAGACTATATATACATAAATTGAACCTGCTGCTGCTTCTAGTAATTTGTAAATGCCTATTTATTTTAATCTATTGATTTTTTAGTGTTTATTTAAACTTTAATTTCTTAAGTAACTTTGTTAAGTTTGAAGAACATGCAAATAATCCTAATTCTTCTCAAATAATTTTTACTATCTAATATTAAAAAAAAATTAAGAACCTTATATCTCAATTTTTTCACAAAAACTTCGGTTGCGGTAATTTAATTTAGAATATTTATATGAGCTGAGTGTGAAATAATACTTGTTTTCATGTATTTTATACTTTTATCCTTCAAGTCTTTCTTATTGATACAATAAGCTTCTATTGTTGATTTCACTTGCATTTGCTTACCGTCTTCCAGGAAATACATCCTGCTATTGCCTATTTAAGTTGTTTCCTCTCCTTAGTTGGCTCGTCAACCCCTCGCATCAGAAATTGAACCTGCTGCTACTTCTAATAATTTGCTTTGCTCGGCCCAAGTTGGTTATCAGTGTCCAACTTTACGCATTTCGCCGGTTAATCCTGCATATAAGTACACTATCTATCCATATCTTCAAGATTCTGTTTATTTTTTCTTTGATATATATCTCAGTGTTTCTTTATTCTTTTCAGATTCTCATTTGAATTGATTCTTTATTTGAGGCCTCTCTCCTTTTTTTTTTTTTTTT